GGGCCAGAAAATAAGGACGTCTGTAAATCGAGAGGAGGAAGAAAACTTCGCCAATCTTTTTATCTTGTTTTTATCTTGCCATCAGTCGCCATCAGTCATATCACACCGGATCCGATGCACGTGACCACGTAGTTTAGGGCAGCGCGGGACTCGGTGCGACTCATCGCTGGTCGGGTTTAACGGAGGCGAAGGATTTCATGATTACCTCTGCACAGTTTCAACCAGCATGAACACCCTCCAAGCCAATGCCACAACAGGCGAGGTATTTCTTCGCCTCCCTGCTCCCCACGAGAACATTATCATAACAACACCTCGAGAAAGCGATAGAGATGACCTCGTTCTCATGCTAAATGATCCGCGGATTTACAAATTTTTGCTCTCACCTCCATTCCCCTATCAGCCTCACCATGCAGAAGAGTGGCTGAGAACGACGAAAGAGAAGTCGGACGAATTGTTGGAAGATCTGCGTAAAGGCAAGGCTGTGGTCGACGGCTGTCCGGTTCAATACATCCGTGAAACGCAAGCCGACGGTACAGACTTACTCCTAGGTGATGTGTCGGTGAGGAGGAATGGGTGGCTAGAGGTCGATGACGAAGAACAGAGGGCGAAGATGGCAAAAGAAAACTTGGCGAAACCCGTCGGGGATCACAGCATTGTATGGACGATCGGAGGTGTGTCCAAAGCACAGTCGACCATGCCCATCTCGTAATGAAATTCCGCAGACTACCTTCGGCCCAGCCACCACGGAAAGGGGATCATGTCCGCAGCAGTGGGTGCAGTGATCAACCGGTGGATGGTTCCCTACATGAACGCCCACAACATCCGCACGGAGGCCATCGAGGGTAACATCGGAAGTGTGCGTGTATTCGAGAAGAACGGATTCAGGTTGTTAGAGTTGGTGAAAGTCGACCGGATTGGACCGGGGTTTGGCCGAGTTGAAGGGGTGCATGTATTGGAATGGCAACGACCCGGAGAATAGCGCAGTTGTTGGCATCGCCTTCAACACCGGCGGATGTTTGTCTCTGTTTGTCATCCGCTGAATTCTCTCCTTCTCTCAGTCAAAGGGGTGTGCGTTAAAGGGGTCCCTTCCTCTCCTTCTTTCCCGCCATCTCCCTTACCTAGCATCTCCCCAACATGAGTTGCATCCGCCCTGCAACTCCAGGATTTATCGCAACTCTCACCGCCACTGGTCTCCTTGCTGCGGTCTCATTCGGTGTTCCGTGGATCAAGTCTGTCTATTTTCTCAAGGCAACAGTCAGCGGATTTGATGGCTCTCTCACTTTTGGAACTCTCGGGTATTGTCTCGATATCGCAGGTCAGGTCACCTGTTCAAAACCCTCGGTAGGCTACGAGATTGGTGAGTGCTGTCTCCCCTAGCGACGGTCAATAAATTAACGGTTACTTCTTGTCTCGGCTATGCAACTTTATCTCGAACACAGACATCAATGCCTTACTCGGGAACGACACCAAGATTCAAATCCCCAATGTAGTGGTTAAATGGATAACATACTGCCTTGTTCTCCACATCGTCGCACTCGCCCTGGCCGCAGGTTCGGCTGTCTTCGGTCTCCTCGCGCATATCCGAGAAGTCTCCGCCACATGCTGTAGCACTTGCATCTCAGGTTTTGCCGCAGCCGTCGCTATGCTCGCCTTCATCTTCGACCTTGCCCTCTTTTTCTTGACAAAAGCCAGGATCAATAGTGCTGGTGGTCAAGCCTCAATCGGCAACGCCATCTGGCTCACTATCGCCGCCTGGGTCCTCCTCTTCCTCAGCGGCCTCTTCTTCTGTTGTGGGAGGTGCTGTCTGAGCGATAGGCCATCCAGAAGGAAAAACAGGAGGAGCGCAACTGGAGATTTCGAGCCTGGTAACAATCAATACGTTGATCAAGTCAGGCTGGACGCTATAAAATCTGAGGCGGAACGTCAGGCTAAACAGAAGTATGGCAACGAAAGTGGTTTGCCAGCCTTCCAGGAGTACCAGCCTTTGAATCGCAAAGAATCGGCAGACGATTCCGCTTATGAAGAGGGTAACCAAATCGTAACACATCCAAGCCAGCCTCAGCAAGGTTACCTCGACGCTTCTTCCCCGCGTCAACAACCTGTCACTGGGCAGACGTACGCTGGTGGTTACTTGCCTGGTCAGCCTGGTGGTAGGGCCGTGGACGATTACTACAACCCGACAGGGACGGGCTACCCACCGGGTCCGAGGCGCCAGGGAACAATGCACAGTCAATCTGCCTCGAACTATTCTCAGTCTACCTATTCTTCTCCGCCTTCCTCCACCGCACCCCCTCTTCCGCAACCCACAACACAATACCTTGCAGTTGGCGGTGCTCAACCTGGACACCAGAACAATGGGTCATCATGTAAGTACACCCTCTGGTTACCGATTTTCTGGCAGTCCTAAAGGTGCTTGGGCAGATCTTTCCACGGCGCCGCATCAACCCGGCGCCTCCTACGATCTATACAGTGCCGACCCTTACACATCTTCCAACGCCCCGCCGATCCCAGTTCCATCCCGCTCTCCTCCCGTGCAGCAAGCAAATCCGTATACTGACGGGCACTCGATTGGAGGTAACCAGTACCTGGTTAACCCGCACGATCCCTTCCAGAATCTCTATGCGCAAGGAACAGGACAGGGACTTCAGCGTGCGTACACTCTTGGGGGGACCGGCTATGGAGACAACACTGTCCTAGATAGCCAAGGGGGTCCAGGACACATCCCTAACCCCTACTCCGACTCCTATGCAAATCAGTCGCCCGTGAGGACGAATCCTTCGACCCAGGGGTATGCGGGCGGTTACCAACCTGCCCCTATGCAACCACCACAACAACCAATGGGATCCGGAGGGGTGGGTCATTATGACGATAGGCCACCAACTTACGACGAGCATGACTCCAGGCCTGCTGGCGTTTGGTCTTCGAAGTCGTGACGGGCTCTGTTACCATCCGCCTCACTTGGGCCGCTTTTCGTTCTCGGGTAGCGGCATCTACGGATCACTGCGTTGTATATACCCCTCTATCTGCATGGTGGAAGAACTTGCGAAGAGAGAATGCCCTTGTCTGTTTCCCTTGTTTTGCCTGTTGCTTTACGACACCTCGGACCACGTTTCCTATTTTACTTTGTTTCCTTTCTCTTCACCATCGAGCGCCCCTGCACGAATTCCACTCATTCCAACTTGAGTCCTCGCCCCCCCCCCCCCCCCCCCCCCCCCCCAGAGCGCTCATTTTCCCGATGTATCCCTTAAGCATTTATTCTATCCAAATTCTACGCACCCATGCCTGGCAATAATGAGATGATATGTATGTTCGGCGCTGCCTCAGTATTTATTGTCCAATCAGTATACAAAACGCATCTTCACATCGATATCTACGTGCGAGCCCGGGTATTTTGGGAACGTCAAAGGTATATGCGTCTCAAATCCGACGCCGTCGTGATCCGCTTGCATATAGGGCAGAGCCTTGACTCCAGGCAACGGAGCCAACATTCCCGACAACATGTGTGCCAGCATTGGGTGGAGACGGTTGGTTCGGTGTATGGGTCGAGGCAAATCCTGCATGTCAGTGCAGGATTAGATGGTTCCTATACATCCTTAGTAAGACGAGGTGGTGGGGAAATTGGGGAGACTTACAGGCTGGGACTCTAATGATGGGTGCTTCGCCAGAGGTACCGAGGGCCCTGGGGCTTCGATCTCAATGGGCGTCTCTGACTTCCTGCTCGAGCTCATAGATCTCGATGCAGACAAGATGTCTACCTCCGTGAACTGCGCCCGGCCAAACACCTCCTCATCGTCCCCGTCGACGTCAATCTCGTCTTCTACGTCCTCATGATTCGTGTCCCTAACATGAAAACCTGAAGCTGTGACACAGACCTCAATACTCGTAAGTTCTTTGATGAGAGTGGGGTAGATCAAACCTGTCAGGTTGGCGCCGTCCGTGGCCCTCGTCCTACTCGGTCTTCCGAGGTCTGTCTCAGACCGCTCGTGAACACTAGGCATGGCATGGACGAGACAAGCGTCCACGTGTGCCTCAGCGACATCGGGGTCTCCAAACACTGTTTCCAAACAAACCGGACAGACAACCTCACCACCACCGCCCCCACCGCCGCAGCGCGCATCCCCGTCATGGCCCTGGATCATCTCACGTAACCGGTGGTACCGCTGCTTTCGGCGGCGTTTCACCGTTTTGATCATCTTCTCCGTTCGAGCGGTGGCGTCTTGGGAGGCGGGGCCGTGTCCAGAGCTGAATTGCGTGAACGCCTTCTGAGCTCGGACGGCAGACCGTCTAGCCCGTGAGAATTGAGCGCTGAAAAATGTGAACTGGAGGCAGTGGACCGGCAGGACGGGTGGGGAACCCTACCCGTCAACCGAATCGCCGTAGACCTCCGAGGATCCTACAGCTCTGATAATCTCTTCCGTACGCTGCATCTCGAGTTCGCAGTGCGCTTCGAGCAGCCGCACTGGGATGTGTTCAGAGCATATAGGGCATTGACGAGTTTCTGCGCGTTTGACTGCACCAAGATTGTAAAATAATAGTATAGGTGGAGCGTCGGGAACCGCACCTTTCTTCACCTTTAGTGTAGTGGGTCCAGCCAAACCAGGGTCGCGTATGATATTGGTGACGGCCTCCTCGGATTGGCTGAGGGCTCGCTTCTTCCCCTTACCCCTGGAAATAGTGGGGATTGAGTTCAGCACCCGACCGGCCGGCTGTTCCACATTGGATACCGACTCTGCTGAAGACTTGGTGGGCATGCAGAATTTACCTCGCGATCACTAGACGAGATGATGAGGAATAAGGGATGGATTTGGAAGACCTACAATGGATGCCATCGAAGACACAGAAAATGCATCCGCTCGTGATCGCGACACACATCTCAATGGCCATCGATACAACTCTTTAGCTTAATCGCCGAGGTGCCTAAGGAACTTGGATGATTCAATAGACCCAGCCGATTTGTACAACGCTTCCGCACAAAAATAAAACACAGGGATGAGAAAAAAGGGCTTGGCCGGGAATTGAACCCGGGACCTCCTCCATCTCATGGCTTCCATATAGGATGCCACCCTAAGAAGGAATCATACTACTAGACCACCAAGCCGATGAATAGGTGCGCTCACTTTTGCTTTATAATCACAGCGCGCACTCGAGTCTCAGGCACCGGCCTTTTTTACAGGCACATTGAGTAACATTACTTATTTGTCCCTTGGATACCAATCGCCCAGCGCTCCTCTTCGAAAAACCACCGTCGTCCGGGACGACTCCAACCAGCCATGGACGCAGCAGAATGGTTCCACTTCCGGTTCTTAGGAGAACCGTTCTTGGTTCCAAACCTCAGGATCGATTCCTTCGGGTCGTTTCTTGCGGCCGCATTGTTCATCGCGGCGGTCTGCTTCTCGGAACGGTAAGCCGCTCTCCACATGGTACAAGCGTCCCTAATCCTCGCTTCCAGCATCCTCACTTCTGCAATATCGCGTCATTGGAACCCTCTACCTGTCTTTCGAAGAACCCGGCTGCGTGTCACAATATGGAAGACCGCGTTGTTTTGGGTGGTCACATTCGAGAGGATGTACGTGTTCAAGTTCAAGTACAATCACAATTACGTTTATTCTTACCACGTCCGTTAGGCTCTATATGCTTGCAGCAATGTCGCTCAACACATGGATCCTCTTAGTGATCGTGCGTCAGACCGTCGCACGCTGTTTCCAATCCTCCTAACTTTCCGCTCAGGTCACGTCTCTTGCTGTCGGCCAATTCATCGTAGAACTCACCGAAACGTCGGCTGACGTTAGCGACATAAATTACTCAGATCCAGAGTCTGGGTACCTTCTATCTCGCCATTCGCCGGAGTAAGTGTCCTAACCCCCCTGACGGTTGGCACACTCACAGGTGCTGACAGCGTTAATGGCGCGCAGGAACCCCTCCTAGCAACGTCTGCAGATGATTACGAGTTGTACTCAGCTGCAACCTACCAACAAGGCCACCACCAGCCATCAAGACAGACGCATATATCTGTGTTAGCTTCTCACGCGAATCCATACCCGCACCATATCTCCCCGTCACAGATGTCCCCTTCATTCCAGTACACTCCTCCCGCCGTTTCCGAACAAGCTCTTCCAACGACAACTAGACCACGTTCGAAATCAAAACCGGACGAGATCTTCATCCACCCGAACCATTCAAACCTCGCCCGTGCTGAAGTCATCGCGGTGCGTATGGGCATAAGCAGCGAAACCAACGAATACGTGGACTCTTCCTCGTACACATACCCTCGGTCCCCCTCTCAGAACAGTGACACTCCTACACATGGTAGCCGGCGTGGCTGGGGAACGGGCAACAGCCGGGGCGTTGCGCGAGGGCTGTTAGGTCTTCCAAGTTCGACCACAAACGCTGGTTTGTGAATGTGGTATATATCGGTTGTGTTTTGGGCTGCGGACTCAGTGTATGTAGTGTGGCACGCACTGTTTCCTTAGAAAGCAACCTCACGGGAAGGGTCCACGATCGATAAGAATAGATAGCACTGGCGCTACTACAGTTAACTCGCCTTTCAGGCTATGCGAACTGGTATGGGGCCTCCGTTCTTTGAACCGCAGGCGAGCAGGGAAGGGTCACAATTCTGCCTCGCCTTCCTTCAGAATTTTATCAGTCTTCGGATCCACCCCCTTCGAACTCGCCGCCCTCAGTAGAGCTCCTATGAATTTTACAGCAAATATCTTACAAACTGCTTGAAATGCCGATTTTAACTCCCTACGAGTCCCACTGAATCTTTGTGTTCTTGAACACGGACACCATACCGACAGGAATGAGGGTCGGTTCGACAATGGTCAACGTTCCAAATCTCCTGAAAATATCGTCTGCGTACAAGGACGCGTTCCACTCTTGATAATCGTCAAGTAACTCGCCCTCCAGGTCGTCCGTGATCCTGCTCGATATCGTCATCGAGCTGACGTTCGGTGAGTCTTGTAGGGCCTTGTAAGCGTTCCGCCACTTGGTCAGCCTTGTTTCTCGACCCTCTATGTACTGGTCGAAGGTCAAGAACTGTTTGGTAACGGCGTTCGAGGAACCCTCCCCAGACTTCCAAGCGGCGAACAGTGTTGTGTACTCCTTCGTGTCTTCCTCCTCCAATTCGATGAACGTGTTGGGCTGTTCTTTGAGGTTATCCCGAACCAACAAGAAGTCGACGAGGGGGTTCCATACTTCCAAACCTCCACGGGAAATCGGGAAGTAGAACCACCCGCTCGGAATGTCCTTGATCCCAAATCGCTGCTCGATCATCTGCTGGATGCACTGGATGACGCTGCCTCCTGTCATCGGGAACAGTTCCTTTTGGATCCGGCTGTACGTTTCGATGACCTCGTCGGCGTGGGTGCGTCCGAAACAATGAGCGGGATCTCCAAAGTTTCGTTGGAAGAATTTGAGATACTTGTTGTACGCGTTGACGAAGCCAAACACAGATTTTGTAGCCGCGAGTTGTCGGCGGAGCTCGGCGATATGCACGTCGACACTGGACTGGTCGATAACGAACCTGCCTTGTTCGCCGTCGAGCCTGAGGAATCCCCATTGACAACCCGAGGTTCCAACGGGAAGGCTGGGGGAGAGCGGTCCACCGACACAGACGGCGCCTGTCTTTTTCATGTTGAAGGTAAAGCCAAGGAGGGAGCCATACTTCTGCATCTCCGCCCAGGCTTCAGCACAAACCTCTGGATCGTGACTCCAGAACCAGAAGTCATCGTAGATTCGATACAGGTAGAGACCGGCTGCACGCTGGTTTACCGCGAAGTCGACACCGAAGAGAATTGCTTCACCACAGAGGACCTGATTATAGGACATGAGTGATGCGCGTAGAACGTAATCAGAAGATTTCCTACAGCCAGGGTATGCGCAATAGGGACACCCCTCCGTCGGGTCTTTGGCGGGGCACCTTGGTCAAACGAGAGTGAAGCATTTAGCCACTTCTTCATGAAGGTAACCCAAAGTTCTGGCATGCCGAAGAAACGGAGAACAGTCAAGATCGAGTCGTGGGGCAATGATGGGCCAAACCTGGGGCAAGTTGATGAAAGATTCCTATGCATGCTTTAATTCACATACCACTCGAGATCAGTTCTCACGACGGTACATTGACCATGCAGAGCCTGCTTGAGGTAGATCTCCGTGTTGATGATCTTCAGAAGGGTTTGCTGAACGTTGACTACCGCCGGTCCGGTAACCACGGGATCCTCATCGTAGGGGGACAGAGAAGCCAACTCTCCAGGAAGCTGCGTCATGAAGAACAACTTCTTTTGCTCCGCACGGCGCTCGTTCTCGATGGACTGGGAGACATCCGTTTTCGGTTCATTGAAACACTTGCTACGTTGCAGACGTTCCTCACGGGTGAACTCGCGCGCATCTCGCTTCCACGCAGGTGAGTCGACCACGTCGCTGATCGCGGCCTTGAACCCCACTGACCATCGCATACCGAGATACTGGAAGAGAAGGGCGGTAATGATCTCCGTGTCCATGTAGGCTCTATATTTGCCAGAGAGGTGACGGCGCATCTCGACCTGGACACCCTCCTGCGGCCACGAGAACGATTCGATGCTCGCCAGCTGCATGTTCAACACGCTAGCGACCTCCTGGAGGATCACATCGTTGGTCAGGAATCCTTTGAGGGTCTCTGTTTTTTCCGCTGAAAGAATATCTAGGGTAAATTGTAAGAATCTCCGCCGAACCAAACCAAAACGTTCACAACAAACCTCGATTCAGCAATGAGCTGATCAGCCAGCTTTTAAGATCCCGAGGACTGACTCGAGCGCTTCGCGAAGTTTTACCGAGGTCCTCCAAGTTTTTGCGCACACCCTTCAAAGCAGCCTTAGCATCGGGAGCGCTAAACAGTTCTTCGAGGTATTCCTCAATCGCCTTCGTGTTCATCGGCTTTTCGGCGAAGATCAGCTCTTGGATCTTGTCCTTTTGTTCTACTTTCTCCGCTCGTGCAGGTTTATCCTCACCCACAGGCTCGCTGCCATCGGCATCGTCCGATTCTTCAGAGACCACCAACCCAGTAGCCTGAGAGTCCCCGCTCTGCAGCCACTCGGTCAAAAGGTTTCCAAACAATTTCGCGTAGTCGAAGCGAGTAACGGAAGCCCGAAGGTGAGTCTCCAGGAGATTTCCCCACTCCTGGACTTGACGGATAGAGATGCTGGGATCGGTCTTAGCTTGGTGGAGCCACCTGGAACGACCAGTTGACCATCAAGTTAGTTGTCGAATCTCATTTCGATTTTGATGATGTTTGATGGGATGGCGAGGCAGGAACACGTACAGTTGAATGTTATCGAGGGGTAGGTCCGTTGCCGTGAGCCTGCCCAAGCCTTTCCAAGCCTTTACGCCATCCAAGAGCTTCTGAACCTTATCAATCTCGCCCTCTGCCATGCTTGCACGGTTGGTAACATCGTCAACATGCTTTGAAAATGTCTCGCTTTGGTGCTGGAGCTCCTGAAGCTTGACGGAGGTGATGAATTGCAAGGTTTGGCTGAAGGCGGAGGAACCGGTGCTGGAAAGATATGAAGATAAGGCGACGAGGCAAGAAGGAAATACTCGGGTTCATCGCACCTCGACTGGGCCATTGAGGTAGGACGTGGGGAATCTGGGTCGGTTAAGGTCGGTTAATATACTGATTAAAAGGCCCGTGAGTCATCTTGACTGATTTCATCGATCCACCGATAAGTCAACACCGCCTGGTACGCAGGTCAGGCCCATCCACGCCTAATAATCAGGCCGAACGCGGCGGAACTTGACAAAACGATGTTTGATAACTCGAACATTCTATCAGATCCTAGTAGAGACCCCGTTTTTATATTCACGAGGAGAGGTGGTCGAAGACCTCGCACTTTTCAGGGGAGACCTCTAGCGGTCATTGAGTACATGAGAGCGACAAGGTAACTGCGCGTTTTCTGCTCGGATGCACGTCGACCTTATGGGCTATAGCTCGACTCGAGCCGCGTCACCAGCGGGGAGAACTGCTTCACTGAGTTATTAGCGTGTTGCGCGGACGAAGATTGAAAACGATGAATGAGGGGAGTCTTGGCCCTTCCACGCTTCATGGAGTCGAGCTATTGAGAAAGAGTG